AATTTTTCTCCCAACCTCTCTTGCACGTTTAACTCTTCTAATAGCATTCTGCATCCACAATTCATAACGATGAATTGCTTCTTTTTCAAAGTAGGAGTTACTAAGATTAGCTTTGAATCTGCTTTTAAGTTCTATATAGTCTTTATAACTAATATCACAATAAGCATTTCCTGTACAATTTGTACTCCAATGCTCATTCATAAAATGACAAAATTTACACTCATATCCACATCCCATTTTAGAATAAATAAGCTTGTTGCACGAATAACAGATTGCTATACTTACACCTATAGCATAGCCAAGATCACCCTCATATAAATACACCATCTTTCTCGCAATAAGATAATGCTTTTTATCATCATTCAAGCGATTACTATTCTTATAGTTCATCAACTGATCCTAGATTCGTTTCATCCAATCAGATGGAGTTTCTCCATTACGAATTACAGAGAATTGACAATTATCTCTCCATTCAGTATCGCTCAAAACTAGGCATTTATCTGTGTAAACCATGTTTAATGATTAAGTGACTTATAGTGTTTTAGAGATTATGCGATTATATTAAATTTAGGATTATTAGACCTATTAGATTTTATCAATTATATACATTATGAATAACCGATTCAATTTTATACACTCAAATATACACATATTAGAGTCTTAGTAATATATAGGTTTCTTATCTAAAAGATTTAAAGGCATTTTTGCTTGTGCAAGTTGTCATAGTTGATTAGAAACGTGGAATAAGTTATGGATATGAGAAAAAATAAATATATATCAAGATTAGAATTATGTTTTATGTAAGCCAATCAAGTTCTCTTTGCCTATTTTTTGCGGACCAAACAAACCACCTAAGTCAAAGTACTGAGCCACCTAATGGTAATTATGTGCTTTCTACAACACAACATACAAAGTTAGAGGCCCTATTGCCAAAAGCCAAAGATTCATAACCGAAATTTTTTGCATAACTATATATACCCATAACAAGTAACTCAAGATTGCTCTATCACGCAAAAGCAACCAAAATGCTAATAAATAAAAAATAGTATATACCTAGTTTAAGTTGAACATAATGTTACTTATCGACGACGATATAGGAATATTGGTAAGATTAAATTTCGGGTATAAATTTTTCTGGTGGATACATTCAATCACTCTCTGTGGTGTGGTTCAGTTGTTTAGGAAGTCTGCGTCACCTTCCCCCTAATACACGCCCCACATCGAGGATGACGATCATGCCCAGGATAAAGGAAAATATTATGTGTTTATCTAAGTTTCGAGGTGGATACATTCAAACTATTTCTTATCTTATAGTTCAGTGGACTATACCGCGGGAAGCTCATTGGGTCTCCCTCTCCTTACTACAGACAATAATAATTTGACAATCACGCCCCCTATAATTGTTTTTATATGAAATAAATTTTAGGGAGGTAATAGTCGGACCCTAGGCCTGCCTCGAAAGGCTATAACTATACCTAAAAAGACTATTCTATAAAGGATAGATCGTGTATTTTTTGCGGACCAGATAATCACCTTCAAGGTCTGGTTAACATACATCGTTTGTTATATGTTTTTTTTATTTCGAAAGCAAATTTTTACTTACTATTTATTTTTATGTTAGAAAGCAAAATGGCGGATATTACTTTAAATTATCATGTCAGCAGTGATTATTCAATTAATATTCCCCCAAATACGACAGTCGCCAACCTTAAAAATATGATTAGAAATAATGTTCCTTTTACCGATTTTGATCTCTACGTAAATGATACTGCTCGAGAAGTAAGAAAATATATGGATCCGCAAAATATGGTTTCACAATATTTTGATATTAATAGACTGGGAAATCACATCCATATCCTTGTTTATGAAAGATA